ATGCATATATCTGTACACTTCTTTTCTTGTTCATTCTATGCAGCATAAATAAGTTGTTAGGTTAAGAAAAGTTGTTTTGACAGGGAGACTTGTAACAACTGCTACAGCATCCTCTAGTGGACATGAGAACAAACTGCAGCTCTTACTGCTTCACACTTGTCACAACAACATATAAATTTGTGTTAAATAACTGAGGACTACATAACAGCAATTCTCAACATGATTTAATAATCCCAACAGATCGATTATTTGAAACACAATCAACAGTAGTGTTAACGGCAAACAAAACCTAAATTGGTTTGCAACTCTTGGTTTTAATGGTTGAGGCCAACATGAAAGCTTTTATAGAAAAAAAGAAAATGTAACATATAGATAAACATAAACTCGCGACTATGTAACTTTACCCCTAAGAAGTCCTGTTAGAAACATATGAAGAAACCATGAACTGAGATAATTCTGCAAAGCTAAATGTGAAAGTGTGAAATGTCACAAAAGTCCTTGGAATCTTTTAATATGTTTACACTTTTTTCCTTTTAATATGTTATATGAAAAAGCTGTTGGTGATTCTGAAACCCTTACCTGTTACCTGTTGTGTAACTGCAGAGTTTAACCCCTATGACAATAAATTATTTTGAGAAGGAATCATCTGCCTGCAAATGTTTCAATAAAACAATCTTGTATTTTTAATTTTTATTTTTGAGTGTTAACTTTTATTGTTTTTAGTGGGAATGCCCTATTATCTCGGTGTGCTGCTCTCATGGCTAGGATTTTTTTTGCAAAAAGATTTTTAATCTTCTCAGGATTCTCCTTGTGAAATAAAGGTTTAAAGGTTTAATAAAAGTATCATAAAAGTGGAAAGTCTTCAAAACTCCAGAATATGACTAGAACACAGTAAATCTGTGTAAATCTCTGTGCCAAGACAGGTAAAACCTCAATCTTAGTTAATTTTTTAAGCGATGTACTATGAAATTTTGTCTTTAGCTTGTCTGAAAGGTAACAGTGTTGTGTTGCTTCAGTTTCACCTCCTAATCCGAGTTTTAACATGTTCCTTGTGCTGTTGATTTGCGCGCGCGGGGATTTTCAAATCACTGATCCTCCGCCTCTCATTGGAAGCCCGCTGAACTGCTCAGCCAATCACAGTGAAAGGACAGTACAGCTGAATTTACATGTACTATGTATAAGAACGGTCTCCCGATCGAAGCGCTTCTCTCATCAACTTCAGTCCGAGAGAAGATGCCTGAACCCGCGAAGTCTGCGCCCAAGAAGGGCTCCAAGAAAGCCGTGACCAAGACGGCCGGCAAGGGAGGCAAGAAGAGGCGAAAGACCAGGAAGGAGAGCTACGCCATCTACGTGTACAAGGTGCTGAAGCAGGTCCATCCTGACACCGGGATCTCCTCCAAGGCCATGAGCATCATGAACTCGTTCGTCAACGACATCTTCGAGCGCATCGCCTCCGAGGCCTCTCGTCTGGCTCAGTACAACAAGCGCTCCACCATCACCTCCAGGGAGATCCAGACCGCCGTGCGGCTGCTGCTGCCCGGCGAGCTGGCCAAGCACGCCGTGTCTGAGGGCACTAAGGCGGTCACCAAGTACACCAGCTCCAAGTAAACTGTCTGCTGCGGAAGTTCACTCAACCCAAAGGCTCTTTTAAGAGCCACCAACTGTGTCTGAAGAGCGCTGATCCTGACACTTTAATCTGTTTTGTTGAGGAAGATTGAGCTTGTATAAGACATGACTCTTGGAGGGGGAAAAAAAACCCGAACTGTTCTTTTATGCTGTACTAATATCTAAAATGAGAGAATAAAATGGTTCACTACTTTCAATTCTATGGACTTTAAGTTTAAGTAAAAATGAAATGCAAAAGTATTTTGTAGGAAATGGTATATTAGAGTAATAAAGGGAAAAGTTCCCACTTAAAATGCAAATAAGTACAGCAGGGGTTAATAACTTCTGTTTTTCCCTTAAATGTTTTGAGAAAACTTCAACTGCAAATACACTGAAAATCTGTTTAAAAATTAAGTGTTTGGGATTCCTATTGATCTAGAAAAGCAAAATTTTAAACCCTTAGTTTTTACCTAATGGCAAAAGGATTTTAAAAAATGGGGTTTCAAGTAAACAGCAACGTGTTTCCAAAAATGTTAAGCCTAAAATGGAATCTACTGGCCTATATTTCTAATTATTTCAAACTTTATTAAGAAATTGAGGAAAAAAACCCTTCAAACAATATTACACCGTATTGTTTTCTTTTTAAAAAGACATTTGTAAAAAGCAAAGTGTTGCCCCCTCTTTTAGCTCAAACTAAAACAGTTTACCTAGTTTTCTGTCATTCCAAAGTGCTATCTTTTCTGGAATTGTTTTTATGTTTAGCAAAAACATTAAAAAATATATAATTAACAGCTTATTAAGCATTAAAAATTGACACTTGGTTCTTGTCTGCCTGCTGCAACACAGGACTTCTGGTCTTTCTGCATTTTTCCCAGTAAGAATGCAGAAAAACTAAAAAGCCAGAGTTCCCGTACTGTGATGTAAAAATGTGACCCAGGTCCAGAGGGTGAGGCGCACGACTATAAGAAAACTTTTGGCGACATCTCAGTGGAAATATTTCCCAAAATTTCAATTAAAATTATATTTTCTTGTTTGTTATTTAGTATAAGTTTTCTAAGATGTTATGAGAAACAAACATCCTTGTACTACTTAAAAAGCAAAGCAGATTCTGGATTTCAAATTCAAAAACACCAATTTACAGCAGCGACGTTCTGAAGTTTACACACATTACATATTAATCAGTCCTTGGGTTATTGAAAGTTTATTCAAGTTTATTGAAATCCTTTTTCTTGGGATATTACAATAAAAATGTTTTTAGAATAATGATTTTGATTCCATATTTATAGTGAAATGTCTTCATTCCCTTTTAATGTTTTTTCTTCTTGTCACATTACAATATTAAAAATGTTCATTGTTTACTAGGTTTTTATGTAAAAGCAATAAATATTGGTGAAATGGAAGAAAAGTGATGCAAGCTTTTGAAAGTGTTTTACAAAAAAGTCTCTTCATTACTCCATGAATAAAGTCCAATGCAACCTAACTTTTTAAAAACATTAACTCAGTTCTTTTTATAATTGTCATGTGAATATTAGAGCCCATTGCTTTATTTTTAAACAATATTTATATTTGGTAAAGAAAAGTGGAGACATGTTCTAAAACTACAAGGAGAAAGTTATTTAAGGTATAAATATTGTTTCCTCCTGTGCTTTAACTATTGTTTTCCTGTCGATTTTACTTGGACTGAAGAGCAAAATCTTACATCCAATCTATGTTATCGAATATACATTAAAGCCCATCGTTTTTTTTTTTCTCAGGATGTAATAAAAAATGTGGCAATTTAAAAAGAGATTAAAATAGAGATAATTAAGAAGCAAAACAAGGCATGTGTTTAAGTCATATTTTATTCAGGCACACAAAGGAAGCCAAAACAATATTATGTTTCAGACTAACTTTGTAAAGCCCAGCGCAGATTGAAAAAGTGTAGAAAACACTTTATTCATTCAGTTCGAGCGCAGTTATAATCTAGAAGTGACTTTTTATTAATTTCAGGAGTTGAGAGCAGAAAATCTGACTTTGATTAGCGCTGCTAGGAAGTCTGGCAACAACATGAGACGCCATCATCAGTGTGTTTGCTGATGCTACAATATCTTCATTTTAGGACGAAAAGGGTCTCCGCGGCTGGTTGTTTTTATTCTCAGGCTTTACACTAACGTGTTAGGAAGCGATCAGACAGTATTTGATAAGGATGATAGGATCTGACGAGGAGAAAGGACGGAAAACACAGCGATTATCAGCGTGTTCTGCCGTGAATCGGTGCAGTTTTCAGGCTCCGGTAACAAAGAGCAGAAAGCTTCAGAGATTTCCAGAAGCTGAACACGAAGAGAAACTAGTCCGCTACGGATCCGCTACACTGTCGGCCCGCAGCGCTGATCCAACACAGAGATTTCAGCTGTTTTAGGTCGCCGAGAAAACACAAAGAGAAGCCGTCCATGTTGCTGCGAGGAGCCCCGGACACGGTTGAGTCTCCACGGTTCTCATGGTGTGTTTAAGTGCCGCGCGCTGCTCCGGGTTTCTCATTTCCACTCTGACTGTTGTTGAGTCGCCAGCAGAAGATGGCAGAAGTCGCTCCAGCTCCACCGCCCGTCGCTGCTCCGGCCAAAGCGGCCAAGAAGAAGGCCTCCAAGCCCAAGAAGAGCGGCCCCAGCGTCGGCGAGCTGATCGTGAAAACCGTGGCCGCTTCCAAGGAGCGAGGCGGCGTGTCGGCGGCCGCCCTCAAGAAGGCTCTGGCCGCCGGAGGATACGATGTGGACAAAAACAAAGCCCGAGTCAGGACCGCCATTAAGAGCCTGCTCACCAAGGGAACCCTGGTCCACACCAAGGGAACCGGGGCCTCCGGCTCCTTCAAGATGGGCAGCAAGGCCGAGACCAAGGCGAAGAAGCCCGCTGCTAAAGCTAAGAAGCCCGCGGCGGCGAAGAAACCCGCAGCGGCGGCGGCCAAGAAGCCCAAGAAAGTAGCAGCCAAGAAGCCTGCTGCTGCTGCTGCCAAGAAGTCTCCTAAGAAGGCCAAGAAGCCAGCAGCCATCAAGAAGGCAGCGAAGAGCCCTAAGAAGGCGGTCAAGAAGGCCACTAAGAGTCCTGCGAAGGCAGCAGCCAAGAAAGCTCCAGCGAAGAAGACCGCTAAGCCCAAAGTCAAGAAGGCAGCAGCCAAGAAGTGAACTCCATCCCTCACAGACATCCTCTACACAAAGGCTCTTTTAAGAGCCAACACTGCAACGCATAAGAGCTCATTCCGTCACTTTTAACAAACTTTATCCATGAAGAGAAATGCCTCCTGCAATTACGGAGAGTTAGCATGAGCGTATTAACATTTTTTTTTGTTTTCAAAAATTAGAAATGTTCGATTTTTCTACTGAGGGACTTTGCAGAAGTCGAACATTTTTAAAATTCCTGAAATTTCCGTGTTTTTGCACTAGATAGTTTCTGAGTAATCTCAAAATTAGATATCTTTCTAGCAAATTTGAGTTTTCAAACATTTTTAGCAGAAATGCATTTATTCTCTCTATATTGGTCATAGTTCACTGTTCTATCTCTGTACATTATGTAATTTATGGGTTGTTTACAGATGCATATGCTCATTGAGATTTTCAGTGTGAAAACATTAATTTCCTGTTGCTATGATGCATCACTTGATACTGTTGCAGTTTGGTTTTGTATAAAATGTAATTGTTTGTTTTGTGGTTTTGTTTTTGAAAGTCACCCTTCACAGTTCAGTTTGTACAAAATTTTAGTTTAACATTTTACTTTAAAATTGGTACAAATCACAAATCCTATAACTTTCTGGCATTTTGTGTTGAAGATTTGCAGCGTCACTATTTTTGCTCTATAGTGACGCTTAAAAGAAAAATTCCATTATTCCTGCTTTTTAACTAGGACATTTTTGGATTGAATATTTTTGTAACAACATTGTAGTTTTACTCCAGTCAAACTGAATGTCAGTTTTCAGAGATGGTTTCTACATTGTGAAGTTTGGTATTTTCTTGACAACAGGTGTTATATTTTGTAATAAATGATCGATTTTGTTCGTATTACAATTCGTCGTGTGAGTTTCTTTCCTGTAGAATACAGTACATTTTTAAGACCTGAAAACATCTTTGCTAAAAATTAAAGTTTTACATTTGTTGCACTTGATTGACTTTTCCCCATTGTTTACTTTGGGACCGCTCTGATGCAGTTTTTATACCCTTCTTTCACTATTCAAGTTTAAAGAAAAAAAAATGCATTATATTTACAATTAGACCAATAAAAACATTTTAATACATAAATGTTGGCTCAATGCAAGTGTGGTAATCTGAAAAATTACCTAATTCGGACTGTATTTAACTCAAAAAGAAGCATAGAGAAAACATTTCTGCAATGTGAATCTGTATTAAGAGGCAACTTTGTAATTATATAATTTATATGTCTACTCTAGTATTTTTTATACTGGATGGAAAATGATAGATCAAATCGCTGATGCTTAAATTAATAATTAAAACAACTTTAATTATTGTGACATTTAGGAATTAGGAATAATTTTAGTAATTATAACTGACCTAAAAGTGTAGATTTGTCTGATTTAACAGCAGACAGAAAAAAGGGCGTATGCGCCTTTTTATTCAGCGTTTCCTGTTTATTTTTCCTTCACGCTTAACAGAAAGAACCCATCGCTTCAAACAAAAAATAAAATGGTCAAATATCAGTATCAAACATATTATTTATTTCTCTGAATTTGAAATTTTAGTGGAAATCTTATTCGATGTACCCTTTCAAAGTCATTTAGAAAAAGAAGAGAAATCCACAGTAAATATTTAGTCTTTTCACTGATTTATTGGCATGTGCTTCTTTCTTTCTTTGTCATTTACATGTTAGAAAAATAATGACGGTGAAAAGAGCCAACTCAGAACTCACACGTTATCTTAATGTTACATTTAGCAGCTAAACCTGATGAAACCTCACAGAGGTTTTCTACTGTCCAGAGAGTTCCTGGTGAATGCTTCGGTACCGCAGCATCTCCGCTTCGGAAACAGAAGGCTTAAAGTTTTTCAGAGCAGAAGAGAAATCCTCTGCAGAGAGGAGGACAGGAGAGTCCTCTAAATCCAGACCTGGAGGACAGAACGCAAAGAGCGGCAGAGGCAAAGAAAATGTGGACATGAGAAAGGAAAGAAACTAATAAAATACATAAATACTTCCAAAATAAACCTGGAGTGTTGTTGGCATAGCTCTTACCTTAAAAAAATGCCATGAAGGAGTGGATTACAGAACATTTTAAAGCCATCTCTTTGTTCTTACCATCGTTGATCTGTTGGATTTTTCTCTTGATGGCCGCCGTCATGGCGTCTGAGCACAGAGCGTACAGATCGGCACCGCTCATGTGAGTCGGGCAGCGATCCACCATATCCTGCAGATTCACGGCCGGATCCAACTGGAACCTAAACACAGTGAAGACATTTCAACTCAAACTCGGTGTCTGGTTTTTTTTAGTATTATTTTAGCTTAAAGCACCAAAAATAACACCAATACAAAGTTGTGTTGTAGAGAAAATACTGTACAATGATAATAAATGTCATATAAAATAAATAAAAAGGAGTAAATTTCCCCCACAACACAGAAAAAGGAAATTTCTGAGTTTAAAAAGTTGAAAGTTTTATTGAAAAAATTCAGAAATTTTTAAATTGATCTCAGAATCTTTTTAGAAGAGAATATTTTGGAGTTTCCAGAAACTCAGAAAAAATGTTTTAGTGGAAATTTACTCCTTTTTTATTTTTATTTTTTATCTCCGATGGCCCTAATATGTCGTCATATCGCACAGATAAGTTGATGTTGCAGATAAAGACATTTTATTTTCCTCTTGCCTCCAGCGGACGGTTCTTACTTTCTGAGGATGGCCTGGAGAACCTGCAGCTGGGAGGCCCGGTCCTCATTGATCCCAACATAGACCAGTTTATCGAACCTGCAGAGTCCAAGAGAAGCTCATACTTCATCTCTGCTTAAAAAAGTATTCACGCCCTTGGATGTTTTACCCTTTTATTGCTTTTACAAAAAAAACAGTTGTTATGATCAACAAAATGTGGAAGTTTAATGAAAAAAACAAAAACAAATCACCTCAGTGTCAGTCAGCTGAATTAGCATTAGCAACATCCACATGTTTCAGGGCTGAAATGGTTAATCATGATAAATCGAATATTGAAACAATTGTCAACTAATTTAGTAATCAATTAATTAACCGAGGCAAACAGACTCAAAAAGTCAAATTGCTGAAGGAACAACATATTCAAAGCAGCAATTAGGTCAAAAAAATATAAAAACTATACATGTTTTGCATCCAAGTGGTTAAGAGGCTTCAATGGTTATCTGAAATGTGTCTTATCTGATTAATCACATAAAAAAATGGCAAATTCTACATATTTTTCATTTTACCACTCCAGCCTTTTTAATACAATTTTAGAATAAAGTAAAAGATGCAAATAAACAAATAATTCAGTTCCTTTTTGAAATGCAACAGCAACATTGCTTTAGTAAATTTGAACTGGTGAAGCTAAAACTACGCCACTTGAGGGGTTTTGGGTAAAACATTTTTACACACAAGTGCTTTTATCTTAAATGCAAACTCAGTTTTAGTTGAATTACTGCTCTGAATATAGTTTTTTTTAAATATGTCTTTTTTTTAAATTGTGTGTTCCAGTTAGCGACTAATCGATTGCTGAATTAGTTGACAATTGTTTCAATAACTGATTAGTCAGTTAATCTCAATATGTTTTGTCATTATGAACATTATTTGTTTATTTCTAACCTTCCGGGTCTGAGCAGCGACTGGTCCAGCAGATCCGGACGGTTTGTGGCTCCGATCACAAAAACTCCAGCAGACGACTGCAGCGAGTCCAGTTCAGCCAGCAGCTGAGACACGACTCTGACCAGAGGACAGAAGAGCAGATTTATTTACGTCATGAAGCAGAACACCGGAAAGATTCCCGACTGAAGTCAAAGGTCAACGCTCACCTGTCCATCACTCCTCCAGAGTCTCCACTGCGCCCCCTGTTGGGCGCCAGAGAGTCCAGCTCGTCAAAGAAGACGACACAGGGAACAGCCATGCGCGCTTTGTGGAACACTGAACACAAACAAAACATTAAAAAAACCAAAGGATGAAAACTCAAGAACACATAAAACTCCAAAAACAGTGATTAAGAGTTATATATATTTATAAAAAAGACAACTTAGAAGTCTTTAAAATGTGAAACAAATAAATGCAAAGCAGATAAATCATTTCAAAACATTTGGATATAAAAAAAAGTCTTTGGGCCTGACAATGTCTCCTGGATTGTTTCTCTCATTTAGAAAAGATACGCAGCACACTTTGATGTGCTGCGTATCTTTCTGGACGCTGCATGGCAGCCATTTTTTTTTTTTTTATAGGTAAGACACATGAATCAAAACGACTGAAATGGATAATAAGAACAATGTATTTCTTCCTTCTAGACAAATATTACCTTTAACCATCAAGATCTTCCAAGCTAAATGTCTAAATTTAATTTAGTTGGTAGGGACAATCCACATTAATTAACATTTTTGTAAATACAGCAGAGTTACACAAAACTCTGCTGACGTTCCTGGATAATGAATAATTTGTCTCGAAAAAAATAAACAAAGTTTAAAATGACAGAAGTATACAAATTTTGTCAATAAATACAAAAAATAGTCATGATTAGATCAAATGATGAGATTAGGCCTGTCATGATAACCCATTTTGCTGGACGATAAATTCTCCCAGAAGTCATTGCAGTAAACAATAATATTGCTGTTTTGAGACAATTTTCAAGTAATATCATGGTAATTATGGCATAATAATGCAAAAACATTCTAAAAGAACAATCAACATCAATGAACTTTAATGAACATTTAACCCTGGAATTGGACAACATTTTAAATATTCAAAATAAATAAACAATAAAACAAATAAAATGAAATATAAAGACTCTGTAAACAAAGTTCTTCTTTAAAAGACGACTAACTGAGATCAAATCACACGGCCAGTAGAAAGAGATAAAAGAGAAAAACAATAAATCATGGAAATTATCCAGCTTGTTTTAAATAACTGATTTAATTGACAGGAACAGATGAGACACAAACCTTCTCGGATGTTTTCTTCACTCTGACCCACATACATGTTGATGAGCTCTGGACCTTTGACACTGAAACAGAAAATAACCGCAGCTTTAGAAACAATTAAACAGCATTTAAAGAAATAAAAGGAGGAAGTCCACACCTGGTTCATGAGGTAAACCCACCTGAGGAAGGTCATGGAGCATTCGGTGGCCACAGCCTTGGCCAGCAGGGTCTTTCCTGTCCCGGGCGGTCCGTACAGCAGGACTCCGGTTCGGTTCAGGCCCAAAGACAGGAGCTCGGGACGCTGCAGAGGAAGCTGCACGGTGTCCAGGATTTCCCTCTTCACATGCTCCAGCCCTCCAACGTCCTCCCAGCACACGTTGGGGATCTGTCCGTTCAGTTACAAACAGCCGACATGAATAAAATGATTATACAGTCTGTGTCACATTCAGCTCATTTTGGGCCAAATCAAAAATCTGAACGTTCTTAAAGGGGCGGTTGTACCAGAATGTATTTACAAAACCAATGAAACTTTTGAAATATCAACACATAGCTGTTCCTCCAGGATTTTATGATTGATTAGTGTTTTTGCAAAAAAATCACAGATTTTGTGGTGCCAATTTCGAAATGTTTATAAGGAATTTTTACGGTATTTGCGCTAATGATTGATGTTAAATGTGTAACTGGGCACCAAGTAAGGCTGAGGCTGCAGTCACTTAAATGCAATATTTTGAGAAAATTTGCAGTAAAGTCAGAAAACAATGTGGAGATTTGTTGATTTTGTATGAATTTTGCAGATTTGCGGAAAAGCTGGAGGGACTTAAAGCTCAGCGGGCTCCAGAATAATGAGAACGGCTCTGCTGGGCCAGACGGCGTCACCTTTGGGGCTCCGATGGCTTTAGACTGGGCATTCTGCAGCGTCTCCAGGGCGCAGCAGAAGTCCTGGTTCATG